GAACACCTGAGAAAAATCAGGCCATATTGGCCCTGCCTGCCTTCAATGGTCCTTTAAACCTCTTAGTTATAGAATTGTCTAAATTTTATTATACTACCGTAATGCTATCCCCACGACATTCCATTGCTCAACTCCTTGGTGCACAGTGTGTTTTCGAGATCGCAAAACTATACTAATTGCCAAGCCGAAATTTTTGGGATCGCTGGAATTTTCCGAAACACAATTTTTTAACCCAAAATTTTTTCGCTTTTTTATATTTAATAACTCCCTAAATGCTCAAAAATTTCCTTACAAGCTTCAGCAAAAACATAAAAAAAATCTAGGAGGTAAAATTGGTCAATTAAAATTTTAAAATCAGCAATCAAAGTGTAGGAAAGAAATCAAGGTTGTTTGAATTAGGTTTTATTTGAATCTTTAAAACGTGCATAACGGTAAATTTAAAAACAAATAAATAAATAAAGGAAGGGGAAAATTGGTCTAAAATTGCCCGTTTAATACGGTACCCGGGAACGCGACAAGCATTGAAAAAGGTTATGAAATGCTAAAAAATACAGAAAAAATGGTGTTGCTGGGTGTTTTAGGCTTCTTTTGGCGACAATAAGATTGCATAAAAATTCCTTCTGAATTTAATTGCATATTCCGCTATTTTCCATTATTCCTACTATATTTTCTATTTCTCTATATATTCATTAAATCGACGAACAGGAGGAGATCATTTGCAAATTTGAGAATTCTGTGAGCTGTGCGGCGGAATAAGGTCAATAGCTACCCGTTGGTAGCGGATTTCAAAAAAACACATTTTTCTCCCGAAAACACTTCGGAAAAATGTGTTTTAACCAAACTACAACAAAATAAAGCGCATGTAGCCAATAGTAACGTGAATTTAAGGAAGATAAAATTGAATTTTAGTCACAGTTTAGTAGTTAAATACCACGGAAAAGCCTCTAAGTAATGCTTCACTCTTTTAACTAAAACTAGGACTAAAACGACATTTGCAGGCTAATGTTAGTATCTTTGGTGCGTCCCAAGCACGCTAAAAATTAATCCTAAAAATAAAAAACTGAAAAACAAGTTCAACAAGTTCGAAGATCCCCAGCAAAATCCCCCAGGCTCCAGGCTTTTCGAGCTGGCCGATGAAAAGCCAAGGCTAAAAGCCAGAGAAGCCTTTAGAAATCGGCAAAAAGGAACGGCAGTTTTGAGGCTTGGAAAAAGCCAAAAACCCTCTTAAAAAGAGGGAAAAGCCGAACGAAAAACGGGAAGCTTCAAAACAGCTGGATGCCCCGGCCTTTTGGGTCAATCAGACTGGCCTCTGGACGAGAAAAAGCCAGAAAAACCTGAACCGGAAATGATGCGATTTTCCGGGTGGCTAGAAGCGCTTCTGGCAGACTGCCAAGAGTCTAGAGTGCCGAGGAAAGGCAGGGAAAAGTAGCTCGAAATTTGGGCGCAATTTGGTGGGGAAAGGGCTAGAAAATGATAGCCAGCTTGCACTCGCACAATTAAAAAATTCGCGCAGGCAATCAGTACGGATTTAGTATGCAACTTACTTTTTTATTGATTGAATTATATATTGAAGTAATTAAAAAAGCTCAAAAGAAAGGCAGAGAAAACTCGATGCGTTCAGGACTCGGTCACAACAATCTCCTATTACCTATTCAAAATCCGGCCCCGCTAGGCTGTGACTTGAAACACATTTTTAAACAGAACCGACTCCTCACTTTCTAAAATCGCAAACAGTATGGTTTAATTAAAAATATGATTTAATCAAGAACCAGGGTTGAAAAGCCGCTTCGCGACTTTTTAACCCTGGCCCGTCCAACCCCATAATAGTCTTCGCTCTGCATAGGTATCTCGAATGCCTTGCATTGAAAAATGAAAACGCCCTTCTCTCGCATTATATATAGGCTAACGTCACTTCCGGAGTATGCTAATTTTTCCTAACAAAGAGATCGGCCGATTTTTCAACAAAAACTTAATTTTAATGTCGAAAATAGCAGAATTTGCAACATTTGATATGCGTGCAGTCATCCCAGAGCCATTACGCATCTAATGACGTATCAAACGTTGCTTAATACCCTTCCGTTCTTGAGATATCTTCCGGACACCCTAGGAAGTTGCATGCAAAGTAGCAACAACAACACTAACACACAGACACGATTTTTTTTTATATATAGTAGGATCGTATAAGAAATACGAACAGATTTTTTACTACTATACTATTACTTAATATTTAATTAGTACCGCTTCTAACGTGGGCCTAACGGGCGATATCCTACGGTCTTAAAAAAATGTTCAGAATCCTAACTAGGGGTCGAACATTACGGAATCCCCAGACGCACGACTTTAAGAAACTTTCCGAAACATGTTTTTTGGAATGTAAATTTTTCTGGGTCGTTTAAGACATGAATCCATAGATATTATTTGCCAGTAACAAAAATATATATTATTAATTGGTTACAGAGCTTAGGCAACAAAGAATACGTGACTTAACATTTTTTGCTTTTATTGATTTTTAGCCTCTAAACCCTCCAAAATGCCAGTTTTCCTTTCTCCACCCACGTCAGTAGCCCAATAGGGTCCTAGAAACCCTATTTCCGCACAATTTCATCGCATTGGCACGTTGCCAAAATTGTCAATATTGCCAAAAAGTGCATTTATTTCCCGCCCCCCTCGAGATGGACCTCAAGAACATGGCCAGGTGTGTGGATTTCCGCCCGTCAATTGGATGGAAAGGGAATCGAATGGAAAAGGAACTCCTCTAGACGAGAGAGAGAGAGAGAGAGAGAGAGAGCCGATGAAGGTGGCACTCCTGGGAGTGAGAGCGAATTCATCTTGCGAAGACTAGTTCTCAAAAAAGAGGGAGAATCCCCCGAGAAGACGAAGAAAAATTTGGAAACTCGAGGCTAAGGAAAAGTTGAGAAGCAGCCGGGAAGTGTTTCGAAATATCCGGTGCCCGGAGGAATCGAATCAGTGAAAAATTTGGCTGGCAAAAGCCGCGAAATTTGTATGTTACAGCTCAAAAACATAACAAAAACAAATGAGACAATCATATTAATACATCAACCTCAGCCATATATCAAATTGGATGAAACACCAAAATTTTAAACCAAAAAATAACCAAGCAAAATTAAAAATTGAGGTTTCATAGCCATTACTGAAAAATCCTATTGGAATTCTTCAATAAATTAGACTATCAAATTTAACTTTGAGTTAAAAGAAAATCGCGAAGAACAGAGGAAATGACGGGATATTTGTTCTACCTACTGAAAGGCAAGCCCCGGACCTGATGGCACAACGAGATGAAACATATCTTTTCCAAAACCAAAAATACATCCTTTTCCGTGGAGCCTAATTGCGATATAAAGATGCTAAGAATAAGCATATTTTGAGTAGAGAGAGTGAGAGCGAGAGAGCGAGGGGGTGGGCGAGAGAGAGCGAGAGAGAGCGAGAGAGAGAGCGAGAGAGAGCGGGAGAGAGAGAGAGAGAGAGAGAGAGACAGAGAGAGAGAGAGAGAGACAGAGATACAGAGTCATCCTAATTATCGCGTACACCACCCAGCTAATTCCGCTCTCAAAATTCACCCCCAAATTCCAATTTTCACGGCCGTTGGCCCCAAAGCCGAAGCCCAAAAAGATGCGAGAACATTCGGGGCGATCCCATCCTCGTTTTCCGGTTAATCCACACCACCCAAAGCCGAAGCCAGCCGGCGAAAAGATCCGGAAGCGCTGTTTTCACAGCAGCATCATCTGAGGCGGCTTCTCCTCCTCGATCTTCGCCGGGAAAAACAGACGAGAAGAGTCGAGGAGTTCGACTCGTTTTCCGCGAATTTTCCCCCTTCACACGCCCCCAAATTTTGACGCCCGGGGGGCAGGAAAGGGTGTGTGTGGTGAGGCGTTCCACTTGGCTTCTTCCTGCTTCTCCCTCTCAAGGCCTCTTTCCGGGCCAGTCAAAACGCGACACCTGGCCCAGGGCTGGGTTGAGTTTTCGGGCGGCCAATCGCACGTCCAGAGGGTATTGCGGCGGAATCTAACATTTTTGGGATCGATTCCGGGGTTGGCCGGATCGCTTCCGGAACGTTACTAATCACTTATCCCTGGATCGATTCCGGAGTGCTCCAATTTACGGTCTTCTGGAAGTGCTCTATTCCGAAACGCTACAATTTCCGGTCTTCCGGAAGCGGTTTCTACTCCGGAAGGCTCCAAATTACGGAGGTCCGACACTGATTGCTATTCCGGGAAGCTACAATTACGGTGCTCCGGAAGTTATTCCGATTCCGGTACGCCACAAATTACAGTCTTCTGGAAGTGACCAGAATTCCGGAAAGCTACAAACTACGGACATCCGTGATTGATTCAGACTCCGGAAGGCCACAATTTACGATCTTCCGGAAGTTCGGGATCAGGAAATTCCGTTAAGCCCCTTTATTCGGCTCCTTAACCAGTCCAGCAACAAGAATTGTCTCACCCAAGGAAACCCGATCTGCCAAAACGCCAGAAACATAGATTTTCTTGGGTTTGCTGGAGGGGGTTACTTGAGAAGAACAAGAGGAGGAAGAAGAAGAAGAAGCCGAACACCGAGATCAACCCGGACAAGGAATTCGACATTTTTCCTATATTTGCAAATTTAAAGCTATAAATACACCATAAAATAAGCCAAAAATAATTCCAGCAAATGCTGGACGAGGAGAATTAAGGGCTATTTATAATTTGCCATAAAAAATCTAGTATTTTCTATATTATTTATATTCGAAATCTACATAAAATTCGCTATATATTTGCATTCAAACGCTCGTGACATCACAACCGAAATTATTTTGGGATCTAGTAAACCGGAAAAATATTCTATAACTACTGACTTTTTCGAAACACTGATTTTTTACGCCGAACCCAACTTTCTAAAAATCACCCAGCAACATCATTTCCGGCTCCAAATTTTGTGGAGAATCCGAATTCAAGCTTTAAAACATTTGAAAACTATAAAAACTATCGAAAACTGGCCGGGGAATGGCGATCGCCATCTCGCAGGCCGTGCTGCAGCACCGCGGCAGCGTCGCGTTCCCGGTGCCCGGGGCCCCCGACGTCCACATGAGATTCAAGCGTTTCAGGGTCACCGGCAACATGATCTCCGGGTGAGTGTATGCAAATCGCTACGCCATGCTACGGGCGTAGCGCGCCGTCATTAGGGTGCCGAGCGGAATGCGGTTTTTTGGGGGTCTAAACGATTATCGAAATTGGGGGAAATTGGGATAAAATCAATTTGTATTTCTTTAACTTGAAAATTGGTATAGAAAATCTAGAATTTTATCTTGAGCAATCCAGATTTCAAAAAAATGTTAGGCTAGCGGTTTTTCCCAAAAAAAAAATATGTTGCGAAAAACTTAAACATTTTGCGGTTTTCCAAAAAATTAATTGGATGATGTTTTTCGTGGTTTGTATAAATCTTCAAATAGCTTCGCAATTTATTTATTACGTAAAAATTAAACAGAAATTTTAACTAAAGGAAAATCGCGGCATCTTTGCGTGCTTTTTTGCAGCTAACTCAGGAGTGCCATCGACATCATTTAATATATAACTTTAGAAAAAAGTTTGTTTTACAATTTAGCTAAGAGCTTTTATCAAATTAAGTAAATTAATTTGTTAAATAAGCAATATTCTAAATAAAATTCCAAGAATTGTCTTATTTTTCTGAGAAGATGTTTCAAAAAAAATCTTAGTAAAAAAGGAAAGGCCGGCGTTTAGTTCGCTTTTGGTCGTAGGGTGCACCATTACCAAGTTTCCTCTATTCGCACAATTTCCGGGTGAAGCTCCTATCGTAATCTATCTGTTTCACAGGATTCTTAAATTGGTATTGAAGAATTTAAAGATTTCCGCATTCCGCATCGAGGTAAGTGTTTCAAAAATTTAATGCTATAGTTATAATTGGGGTACTTTAATCATTGAGTTTTCGGCGCCTCGTAAGCATTCTCTAGATTTTATTTAATTTTAAATATTTGATTTAATACTTTAAATAGGTGTATTTTAATATTTTAATATTTTGGGGTTTTAAGCCTTTTCTTAAGCTGTTTCAAGCACCCTCAATTTTTTGGGGTAAAGCTGGATCGAATCTACCCAATGTTGAGCGCGGTTCCTGCCCCTTTAAACGATACCAGATGCGCGCCGGGGGTGGCATTGATTTTTGGGGACATTCGCGCTTAAAAACATCGATGCACTATTACAACTCCAAAATTTTTTGATATCTAAAATTTTTTGAAGCATTCGATTTTCCGCCAAAAAAAATTTTATTTTTTGAGTTAGATGGGATTTCGGCTATGGGTTTCATTCCACCTGAAAAAACGCGCGTGGGTAACTCGGTTAGATGAAACATTTAATCTTCAAAATTTTGGAATATTTAAATATATAGGTATGGTTTCCTAGTCATGATGCGTAGAATCCGGGTATCGCGTTCAAAAAATTCGTAACTTTGTGACTTTGTGAAACTTTTAATTTCTAAATTATACATCGTTTTTGCGTTAATTCTAAATAATCTTCGATCTCCGATTTAATTTAGATGAACATTTAATTTTCATTAAATTTTCTCTAACGTTAGCAAAGTTCGTAATTTTCCGGGTAGCACTAGAAATCGACGAAAATTTATAGGCTGTATCTAATCATAGAATTATTAAAATTGATTAATTAATTTTTATATTTAAGAAGATCCAAAATCAGCCAAATTGATCCGCAAACGGTTTTGGAAATTTTAAAATTTTATAAAAGATCTTGATTTTTGGGAGTGTGCTAGAACTTACTAGGGATTAAAGGCGTAGCATAGCAATCGATCAGATGCGGAAATTCCTTAATTACATCTGTATTAAATTATTAAGCCCGATTTAGCGCAGCGCAGCAGCACAAAAAGCGGCTGATCCCGTTGCCGGCGGACGGACGCGATGGCGCGCGCCAAAGCGGAAAAACGCCAAATATGGAGGACATTTGGAAGAATGGCGGGTCCGACGTGTTTCAGGTGGGCGTGATTAAAGTTATCATTTATTAAAGCATCGAACTCCCGAAAATTTTCGAGAAAGGTTAGTGACAGATCCCAGTCTCGTCGGATTGTTCGCCAATATTAACACCGCTATCTTTTAATTATTGAAAAAAATCATATTTCTAACAAAAATTAAAAAGTTCCTCAAAAAAAAAAAGGCTACGAGAGATAGGAAATGAATAAAAACGCCAGAAATTATCCTGTTCAAATTATCATTATCGCGCTAAGTTTTGAAACTTTGGTTTTAATTTCGGAAAATGCCTTGGGGTGATTTAAACAAATGCGAAATTTTATCTATGAAAAGTTATTTTTTGCACTAAAAAATAATTTAAAATTAAAAAATAATTTAAAATAAATTCAGTTAAAAATCTATTGAAAAATTCAAGCGAAGCATTAATTAACAGCGCCATCCATCGACCCATCAACCTATTGCGTTCAGCAAAACCCTCGGTTCCCCAAAGTTTACTGAACATTTATAGGAGTATCAGGAGTAACCCAGAAAAAATCAATGACCTCCGTAAAAACAACGCTCTATTGTGAACAAAAGGCGTCAAAAGCTTTGAATTTGCCCGAAACATTTCTTCCCTTATGTCGAATACGATTTTTAGTCAAAGCAGTTAGCGGAGCACGATAATTTATCAAAGACCAATTAATTCACGACTATTGGGACATTGCAGTAGCATAAAAATTGTATCGAAAAATCCACATGGTTTTTTTTGAAAAATGTTGTTTTGAAACTGGTCCTAGTTAGGTCAATTGATGGCCTATTAATGATGTGTTCCGCTGTCTCAGAACTATGTAATGGTCTCGATTTTTCGCATTATTTAGTATCGAAAGTTAAAACAGCAGTCCAGCCAATTCTGGCGAATTCCACAGGACCTATTCCAAAAACTGTAGCTAAAAAATTCGCATTATTGACACTTTGATGAAACATAGTAATCGCATAACATCCTGAAGCACTTTTTTTTGTAAAAATATTTTTCAAAACTTAAGCCATACAAACAAATTCTAACTTCAATAATTGGGATTGGGAAAGTTGGCGTTAAAATTACGCGTTTAATGCTGTTAATCAATAACTAATTAAATCTCGATTCAGTTGATAGCGCCGGGCGGGCTCGGCGGGCCCGAGCGGGGAACCCACTGTTTTTGCGGCTCAACATTGGCGGTGTCAAGTGGGTTTTATTAAAATCTTTTTATATTCAATCCTGCTTAAAAAGGTTTAGAATGCCTAAAGTCAAGGGTATAATTTAAAATACCCTCTTCAGATACATGATCCTCGTCGACGCGCTTTTAAGAGCGGAAAATACTACGTTTTTGACAAAGTTCGTCCAGCTCACCCATCCCTCCAGGCTTAAGGTACGGAGCATTAAAAATAACGAGTTAAAAATCTACTTATTCTGCGATATTTTCTATCAAAAATTTATTTATTTTGTGTTTCAGGGATTAAGAAGAGTTTATAATTTAAGGAGATGGCTAAAGGAGTCCGTTCACTAGAGTATGAAATTTCGCGTTTAAACTTTTCAAAAACGAAACATATTTTTCTCTCAAATTATTTTCTGGTGATGAAAATGTATACATCGCGCTAAAAAAAACTTTTAAACCAATCTGCTTGTAATAAAAAATGGAGGACTCGCAACAATTATTTTTTTGAAACTTCGCGGCTTAGGCATTTTTCTTAAAACATTTTTTCGAGTCCAGGATACTGCTGATGGAAATGGAAGGTGCATTACAAGAAACTAATAAAATTTGATATACGTGAAAAATTTAAACGGTTTGATTTCAATTCTATCCAAAATAATTCAGATTGCCGACGCGTACATGCCCGGCGACGACGCCTACTTTTTTCAGCGCAGCCCCGTGGCCTTTGAGGCCATTTATCAGGTCTGCAAAACCGAGAATCAATCAATCAATCATACTTTTTTTATCTCACAAATTTCAAGCAAGAGGGAACGGCAATTTTAATAAATCTTAAATTTATCTTAAAAGGTATCTACAACGTATTAAAAGTAGTAGCCATCTTTCTTTAAAAATTTCCAATTCACTAAATTTTTAATTTTCCGAAGCGCGATCAATTAAACACAAAATTAAATTAATTTAAACAAATAATTACCAAAAATTATTTTTGCACAAATTCTTAAGTTTTTAAAGTTGTATGAAACATGTTTTTTCAAAACTAACAAATGAAAAATGGTAGTTTTGGTGTATCATTTGCTAGTTAAGCCAGTAAAGCTAAACATATTTAATCTTTACAGTACTACGCCACCGGTATCATCCACCGTCCCTCCGAGATTATTGCCGAACCTCCTTTCTGTCGAGCTCGACTTTTGGCGGATATCCCATCAACACGTGGTCGTGTTATTCGGATATTGTCCCGAGGAGAAGCCCGAGAGGCAGAAGAAGGAAGGAGGAAAAAGGTGAGCATGAAGAATATACAAAATTTAATTTAAAATATTAAGGCTCAAAAAGTGGAAAAGAAAGTTTTAGATTAATTTTGAAACCTCGCAAAACTCGAATGTTTCATAAAATTAGGCCAGTCCAAACGGTGGGATTCCTATTAATACTTTGCTCAAATTTTTTCTTCAATTTTTGCAATTCCCAAACAAGCATTTTTCAAAAAAAAAAATTAAAAACGTTTCAGCAAAGCAACTTTGAATTTTTTAGTGCGTAGTTGGGCGAACGCCCTATCAAATTTCAGGGAAAATAACCAGAGGCTTAATCGCGCCATAGCAAAAATTCTAGTAATTAAATGTTTCATAAATTTTCAATCAAACGTAAAGCTGGACGCTCAATTCTAGATCGTATTGATCG